GAGAGGGAGGGGGAGGGGGAAGAGAGGGGAAGGGGGAAGAGAAAATTCACAAGAAGACAAACCCTTTTTCTTCTGCTGTGTCAAGGACAGAAACCAGGGGCTCACACACGCTGGACAAAATTCTACCACTGAACTACATCATCAGATTGTAAATTTCTTTCTTTCTTTTCTTTTCTTTTCTTTTTTTTTTTTTTGAGACAAGGTCTCACTGCATAGTTCAGGCTGGCCTTGAACTTACTATGTAGCTTGGGCTGGCCTCAAACTTGCAGCCTCCTGAGTACTGGGATTATAGATGTATGCTACTACGCCCAGCTCAGACTGTAAAATTTTAAATGTAGAAGCCTGCAGCCCTGGTTTATAAACAATTTAAAATCACAACAGCAACAGAAATGTTATGTGAACCTAATAAAATATATATGTGGGTCACTGGTTTTAACTTCTGCCTTTATGTATGGCACATAATAGAAACTCATTTATAAGGTTAATTCATTTATTCATTGAAATAAAGCACGTGACCTGTGGAACGTGCTCTCTCTGGTAGTGGCTGGGAATGCAGTGAACAAAATAACCAAATTCCCTGTTTTCTGCCCAGGTGGTTTCTCCACCTGCCTCACAAGCACAAGGACTGGAGTTCGATTCCCGGTACTAAAAAAAAACAAAAACAAAAACAAAAATCAAATTCCCTGTCTCAAGCAGTTTATATTCTTTCGGGAAAGAGAGAAGAAGCAATCCGGTATGCTAAGGGCTGAGAAGAGGGAAATGGCTGAAGAGTACGGGATACTACGGACACATATACGAGGACGATGTCCAAACTAGGCCAAAGGTGGCAGGGGAAAGCTTCCTGACATCTGACCTGGGATCTGTAGCCAGATGACAAAAATGGGAAGGGCCTTAAAAAACAGAGAGCACTGTATGTGCAATGGGATGGAGGCTAGAGTTCAGGATGTAACCAAGGAACAAAAGGATATTCAGGGCAGCAAATGTGGGTTGGGGAGACTCAGGAGATGAGGCTGGAAAAAACTTCAACAGGGTAGGTGATATGGCTGGACTTCTATTTAAGACAATAATCTCCGGCCAGGTACAGAAAAACGCATTGTACCTCTGAGGGTAAAGCCGGAAGCAGGAAGGCTAGCAAGGACGAGAGTCCACTGGCTAACAGACATCACAGTGCAGTGGGCTACAGCAGTTGTCTAGCGGAGGCGGGAAGATATGGCAGAAGACAGGCGGTGTCTAGGACTTTATGACTGACTGGATACACGGATGGAAGGACAGGGAGGAGTCACTGGTGTCTACCTGAGAAGTATCTGGTGAATGAATGGCTGCACAGCAAGGGCTCCGTATAAGTTCTTTCCTCCAAAACAAGAAAGTATTTGTCTTCCAGGAGTGTGCCAGAGCTCAGCTGAGATCTTAGGGACCTGACAGAGATGTTCTTTTTTAGAGGAAAACTGTGCCGTCTGGTCTGAGCTAGTATTCTTAGGGATGCTCCGCTCATGGCTACAGCACAGAACCAGCGGTGCTCCGCAGCTGTTGGTCTTACCCAGATCCATGGTATGCACATCTGAGAAGCTTTGGTTTGGATTTGCTCCCCCGACAATGAAGATCTTCCCTCTCCCAGTGTCACCAACTGGAGGTAAATATGAGCAGCTGTGGCCAACTCGAGCACAAGGGCTGTCTCCAGGGGGAGTCAAGGTGTACCTGCCAAAGGAGGAAGTTCAAGGCGGAGGCAGAAGGGTCACTGTGCATTCGAGGCCAGCCTGAACTACACTGGGAGACCCTGTCTCAAAAGCAGTCAATCGTACAACTAGGCAGTTGTTTGCCATAGTTCAATGTGTGCTGGGAATTAAGCAGGATGGACACAGGGAAGTCAGAGCAGAAGCTGTCCTTCAAGGTTCCGAGGGACACTGCCCCCTCTCTGCGCTGCCTGTGAGCCCTGTGTCAGCAGGGATCACACTTCATCACCATCCTCTGCTTCGTCTGCATCCTTACTACTGGGAGACTATTTACCTTTGGGTCCCCAAAGCCTATGCAGCAGCTGCCCCCCACCTCAGGCCAGAGTTTGTTGTGGAATGAAAGGCGGATTGAACCAACAGCCAAGAAACACTGGCACCAGTTTAATCCAAATTCAATTCCCTGAAAATCCTAAAAATGACTCACAGCCCAGGGGAAGACACAGAGCTGGAACTGAGGATGCCAGATGGTCAGTGCCTTTCTCTTCTTGGTAAATGGATTTAATAAAATTAACATCTGTTCTGTGATAATTATTGCCCCCTCTCTTTCCCCTGAAGACTATCTCTGACAGTTTGAGTCTAATTACCAGAAACTGCAACAGTTTTATCTCTATCCTTTCTTGTTGATGATCAAATGTTAGTAAACTATTTAGAAATGAAACAAAACTCATGTGTGTGCATGTGAATCACTCCTTACAGACCATGTTGCTTTCCTGGGCTTGTCTCCAGGCTCCAAGACGGGCAGTTGCTTCATGGTATCCTACGCATAAGAAAGAAAGGTACTTTTTAGAAATTTATGGTTATTTCCTCCCTAAAACAAAAATCAGGAAAAATCCCCTATTCCTTTAAAAACTTTCCCGTTGAATGTTCCAATATCTAAGGCCTGATTAATCTGAATACGCATCGCCCCCTCCTTTGACATAGGATCTGGCTATGTAGTTCAGGCTGGCCTCCAAATTGTGGTGATTCTCCTGCCTCAACCTCCCAAGTGCTGGGATTATAGGTGTGTTGAATCACACCTGGCTGCCCTAGCCTGTTTGATATTTTATTTTGAGACAGTTTTGCTAAATTACCTGAACTGGGCCGGAACTTGCCATTCTCCTGCCTCAGCCTCCTGAGTAGCTGTGATTGCTTGTGTGTGCCATCAACCTTTTCATAGGAATTTTTTATTGTCTTTTTCTTTCTTTTGGTGCTGGAGGTTGAACCCAGGTCTTCACACATATATTAGGTGAGCATTCTAGCTGCAGGCTACACTCCCAGCCCTTAACATAACTATGTAAATTGTTTTCTGAGATTCTCATGAGGAAAAAACATATATAAAAATTTCAAAGGTCATAAGATATTTATGTTTACCAAAGACAAAACAGCCTAAAAGTTTGAGAAATACTTAATTGTGGGATAAATATTGGCTTCTCATGGTATAGAAGGCCAGGCCTTATGAGCTAAACCTTTTTTTTTTTTGAGCATTCAGTTTCTCAACTCTTGTAATTCTGGGCTTTTCATTTTCTTCTAATATGGTAGGCACTTTCATAGCTTGTAATCTCCCTCCCCTACCTGGAATGTTCCTTCCCTTTTTATGAACATACAAACTCCTAGTCAACCTCCAATTGCCCAGTCCAAAAGTCCCTTCTGCAAGGATTTTCTTCTTTACACTTCCACTGCCCCAAGCTACTTCCTTCTGCTTCAGGGATCTGCTGGTACCTATTAAGTCACGAGCACTGCAAGAATCACTCTGAATGTAGTTATCTACTTCTAAATCTGTAGCTTACATTCAAGACTAAATTCCACCAGACCAAATTCCTAGAGTGCTGGGCCTGTCCCATTCATTCAGATGATCTACCAGTGACCCCAGAATAGAATAGAAGTGATGAATGAGTGAATGCAGAAACAAAATGAATTAAGGGTCAGAAGGAGAAAGTCCACCCGCATCCCAGGTCACTGACTGCTGTCCCAGAGGCCAGAACTCAGCAGAGTGGGCTTCCGCGGGCTGGAACCTCGAGCGACCCCCCTCCCCTCTCTCCTCCCCCACTGCGGTTCTGCGGGAGTCCAATCCTAGTGTGGCAGCTTTTGGGGATAGGTGACAGGGGCAGGAGAGCAATGGCTGCTCGCTTTGGGGCGATGCGGCCGAACCAGAGATCAAGGACGCAGCCCTTTTCAACTTGCTCTGGCTCAGTCCCCTAGAGGATGCAGCGGACCCTTCCTGGGTTCGCCCTTCGACCGGGCCCGAGACCCCCAGCCCACGACCACTTTACCTGCGGCAGTTTATGCCAGTCCCAGGCCTGGTCCCACCCACAGGGGCGGGGTGTAGACACCCGGAAGCAGGGCCATCCGCGGGGCTCCTCCCTCGTCCGCCCAGTCCCAGAGACCTGGGGCTTCTTAGATCGGTGGAGAACCTTCTGCATTCCCAGTATCGACGGCCGGGTAAATAAACTGGGCTACTCGGAAACAACTCACAGGGCGATGCCCGGGGCTGGGCGTCCATGTGGGTGACCCAAGTTCCTTGGGCAGCTGGTCTGCCCTGTAAGAGCTAGTGATTGTATTTTTAGTTACAGAAGTAATTGGGAATGGCTTGCTTTTGTTTTTCTTTTTCCTTCTTTTTTTTTTTTTTTTTTTTGGTGATAGGGTCTCGCTAAGTAGTTCAGGCTGACCTTGAACTCACTTCACCATGTAGTCCAGACTGGCCTCAGACTCGTGGCAGTCCTCTTGCCTCAGCCTTCTGTGTGCTGGGATGACAGATACGCGCCACCACGCAGGGTGGCTTGGTTTTTTGTTTTGTTTTTGTGACAGGGTCTCACTTTGTAGTTCCGGTTGGCCTCGAACTCACAGCGGTCCTCTTGGGTGGTGGTACACATCTGCAATCCCAGCAGGTGGGGAGGCTGAGGTAAGTTTGAGGCCAGCCTGGGCTACAAAGTGAGTTCAAGATCAGCCTGCACTGCATAGCCAGACCCTATTAAAAAAAAAAAAAAAAAAAAAAAAAAAAAAAAAAAGGAAAAAAAAAAAGTCAACCAATGAAAGTATCTGTTCTTGAAAAAGCTCCTTTTGTTGGGCCTCAGTGTCCTGGTCTGTAATACGGAGCTAAAAAGATTTGTCACAGTTGTGGTTCCACCTGGGGACTGGAGTTGGCACAGAGCTGGTCTTCCGTTTTGTTTTGTTTTTGTTACTATGTAGTTGAGACTGACCTGGAACTCACTGGGTAGCCCAGGCCGGTCTCGAACTCACAGTAATCCTCCTGCCTCAGCCTCCCCAGTGCTGGGATTAAAGCTGTGCACCACCACGCTGGTCTTCTGTAAAGGGTTAGGCTGTTCCTGGCTTTAAGTAAACTACAGTCTCTGGGCCTGTCCATCAGTATTGTCTTTGATCTGCTTCCTAACTCTAGGTTCCCTGTGACTCCCTGAAATGTGGAGAGCTGGCTCCTCTATGTCTGATTCTGAGAACTGTACTCCTGGATCTAGAGGAAGCAGCTGAGGCTGGAAACAACAGGAGCCCTGGGAGTACAGCACTAGGGTAGTTAGTGGGAAGAGGTCAGGTGTACTTGGGTTTAAATCCAGGAATCAGCACTTTGTTTTTGTTCCATTTTGTTTATTTGTTTGCTTGGTTGGTTTTTTTGAGACAGGTTCTCACTATGCAGTTCAGGCTGGCCTTGAACTCACTATGTAGTCCAGACTGGCTGGCCTCAACTCATGGTGATACTCCTGCCTCAGCCTCCCAAGTACTAAGATTACAGGCATGGACCACCATACCCAGACCAGGGTTCAGTACTTTGGAAGAGGCTGAGGCAGGAGGACTACAAGTTTGAGCCCAGCCCGGACAACTTAATGAGACCTTGTCTCAGAATTTAAAAAAGGGTTGGGGTGCTTGAGAAGTAGCTCAATGTGTAGGCCCTGGGTTCAAGTCCCAGTACTGGAAAGAAAGAAAAAAAAATTCCAGGCTCCAGCATAAATCATCAAACCCTGACAATGGCATTTACCCTGTGATAGACAAATATTTTAAGCCATTTTTATATATTAACTCTATGAAATCTCATACAACCATATGAAGTATTCTTATCTCTCTGTAAGGTACAGACTATTATTATCTCCATATTGGAGCTGACAAGACTGTAGCACAGAAAGGTAAATCACGTACTCAAAGTCACACAGTAAGAACCAGGCATGGTGGCGCACGTCTGTAATCCTAGCACTCAGGAGGCTGAAGCAGGAGGATTGCCATGAATTCGAGGCCAGACTGGGGTACATAGTGAGTTCAAAGATAGCCTGAACTATAGAGCAAGACACTGTCTTTTTTTTTTTGGTACCAGAGATCAAACTCGGGTCCTTGCACTTGCAAGGCAGGCAGCAGAACCACTGAGCTAAATCCCCAGCCCTGCAAGACCCTATCTTTATTAAAAAAAAAAAAAAAAAA